CTATCCACGTAAATGGCCCCTAACCCACTGCAAGGGAGGAGCTGAGGCTGTGGCTTCTGCAAGACCAACACCTTCAACAGTCCCCAGAGATTCAAGTCTTAGTGATCCAAAGAGGCAGTGAGGAACTCATGAGCCGATGAGCTTGGCTGGGACCACACTTAGCCAGAGAACAGCATGGCTGACTTGATACTGAACCAGCCCACCTGGTGTCCATGGGCAGCCCTTGGAGATCAGCTCCCAGACCAACATATCCCCTCCCTCCCTGCCTGAGTGCCGACTGGTGGGCACAAGGGGCTCAGCTCCTTTCTGAGCTTTCAGTTGCTACCCCAGCAGCAAGCCTCAGGCAGCAGGTGAAGGCTGAATCCTCATGCTCCACAGGCCCGGGAGGGATGTGGGCTAAGAGGCAGAGTCTTCCGGGGCGCTGGGGCTCTCACAGCTCCCCTCAGCCCCGTAGCACTCCTTCCCGAGCTCCCAGGACCAGACTGTCAGCGGGAACAAGTGTCTGGCTGGGGTAAGTGGGGCGGCAGCAGTTGAAGGGGGCTGCTGGAATGGCCAAGTGGTAAAGGACAAAGGAGGGGAGGAAAAGGTTCTGAGTCCCCAAGGCCCCAGCTCTTTCAGATCAGTATCTCCACCATGTCCGACAAGTCCTGGACTCTGGACGTAGCTACCGAGTCTGGAGGGAGACAAGAACACAGGCACATGTCAATGAGTGTTACGTTTCTCTTGAAATTTTTGAATTTCTTTTTTTTTTTTTTTAGTTTTTATTTAAAGAAGCTTTTTTTTTAAGTGGACAGATAACATTGTATGCTTTTATACTTCAAAATCTTGGCATGTTTTTAAGATAGGATCTTCCTTCACCAAGTTTTACCACCTCCACTGTCCAGGTGGCAGGTTCCCATACAGCGGCCAACCAAACACAATGCTCTGCTCCCTCTCAGCTCCTGGCCCAGATCACCAACCTCCCAAGCGACAGAAGCATTTGTTTATAACTAACTCTGAATTGGTTGGAGGGCTTGGAGGAGCGGTGGAGGGCCTTGAGGGAGGGAGGCTGCAGCATTCTTCTCATGCCTGTGGTTTTCTGAGATCACGAGGCCCAGGCAAATATGCAAAGGCTGATGTGAAAGGGGAGCCACAAAGAAATGGCCTCTGTTCAAATTTCTCCTTCCCGGATTCTTTTTAAACAAAGTCTTCTAACTGGAGAGTGCCATCAGGATAATTTGCCAAGCTCCATTATCTTAGATGTTTAGATTGGCAATTAAAAATGTAAGGAAGACTATGATAGAGGAGATGAAGTCCTCCCATCTGGTGGCTTTCTTTCTGAATTCTGGCTCTGGCTGTAACCAGGGTTTCCAGTGCCTGTCCTTATGCATCCACCTCAACCCTCGTGTTCACACTGAGGTGGGCCAGGTACCCGC